GCCTATCAAGTGGCACAACTGTTTTCGAGCCCTGAAGGTTATTGCTTGCTCACTTAAAACCATAACGCATAAGTCAGCCAGTGGATATGATTTTTATATCCCATCATTTTTGTAGAGAGGGGAAGGGAACTCTGATTCTGTTGGGGAACATTTGTTTTTCTTTGAACAGGGTTCATTTAAGGGATATTTATACTTAGAAAGGCTTGTCCATGAAGACAAGTGGGAAAATAATAAATAAATAAATATTACAAATAGAACGTGATGTAATCAAAATATGACCATTGTTGTGTCGGATGTGAAGCTGTGTGTGTTGTTCACATTAAACCAATTATGTTTATTTCCTGCCTCTGGTTTCTCTACAGAGAAGGTGGGTTTGTTCATTTTTCAAGTTTTGTTTATTCTCTCAGCAGTCAACCATGTCTCTGATTTGTCCTTGCAGTGCAACAGGACTTCATGTCCCCATCTACAAAAAAATAAATGTGCAAAATGAAATTAGTGTGATTCACCCAGGATTGGTGCTTTGTTTGTGTTTCTTTGTAACCATTCAGCTTTGTTTTCCAACTGGATTTCTGGGCTTTGTAAGGATTTCTACACTTCCTGTCGCCCTTGTGTTGATTTGTTGATGTTGCTGAAGCTTTAAACTGACTGAGCAGCTGAGAGCTTCTGATTTATTCTACACAGTGTCCCTGAGCCGCTGGGCATTCAATGCCATGCTCAAGGGCATCTCAGCAGAGGTTGTTAGTGCCCCTGTTATCATCAGTAACATACATGTAGCTCGCGGCTCAGCTTTGACTTCCTCTCTGTCAGCTGCTGTTCCTGTCACTTATAGCAGTCTACTTCAACTGTGACATTTCCTGTTTTACAGTCAGTAAAATTCTGATTTATTATGTGAAATAATTCGTACTTTGATGATAGACTCACATTGTACACATTTCTAGGAATTATTTTTGCCAAGAGGTCATGTGCTGTATTCAATTGTCATGTCAAAGGTTGGATTTTTCTTGACTACTTTTATCTTTTTAGGTCGTTTAAGAATTGTATGTGAAAAGCCAAAAAGCTGCTTAGCAGAGGATTGCTTATAACCTTTACTAGCAAAATTCTGACTCAAATTCTGTCAAATTAATACAATTAGTGTCAAGCAGCCAGCAGAGAAGCTGTTAAGCTATCTCCATGCTGTCAAGAATAAAATTCTAGTGTAGCAGTACTAAACCCTTTATTAAGTGTCTATTATTTTATGTTTATTAAAAACATAATGATTCCAAAACCCTGGAAGCAGCTTTAAAATAGGGGAGGGTGGGTTAATTGGCACACTTTTGTTTCGATGCAAAATAACCTTCCATTACTCACATACGACTTGAACAGTAATGAAAATAATTTGATCCCTGGACAGATAAGTGTCTGCTGACAATTTATAAGGGTTTTTCTTTGAGCCCAACCCAAATGTGAAAGGCACTTTTTTTATGAAATATACAAGGAGCACATTTTCCCAAAATCCCACCTCCCCAGCATGGTTGAAACACCTTATTCTGGGCTTAAAAAAAGGAAAAAAAAAAAATCATTAAAATTAGAACACCTTATATTTACAATGTCACTTATCCACACATCTTTGAGAAAAAGGAAAAAAAAAAACATTCTGAATATTTTTATGAATTACTGAGATATTAAATTTAACAGTCTTCTGAATCTTCATTTCAATGACACCTATCAGCAAAATGCTGTCACTATAGGCTACATGTAGCATGTGATCTATGAAGGCTTTTGAGTTTGTTTCATTTTGGGGGAAAAAAATCAACACCAACAACTTGAAGGTTTAAAGAAATAAATAGCTGGACTGTGTTTTGTTGGGGTTAGGTCTACATGATATTTATGCGCCCTTTTTTTAACATGGCCTATTAATTAAGCTTAGAAATTGTAATTTCTTTATAGATCTCACGTTCACTCAGTGACTTTACAAGGGGTCTTATTTAATTAGAAAAAGTCTTTGTCTTGTTTTTGTCTACCTTTTGTTGATTTGTAATAAGATAGGAGCTGTGAAAAAAACTGTCCCAACTGCCCCAGAGTAACTCCTAATTTTTTCAGATAGAGCAGACAAATTTTGGACCTGTGTGCTAGCTACCAACAAAACTCAGCTAACACTAGCAGGAACTGATAGGCCGGGGAAAAAAAAGAGCCAAAGACATACTCACACGCTGTAGATTTCTGTAACTAAATGTGAGGACTAGTCAGAAGGTCTCCACTTTGCGGTTGAAGGTGAAGAGGGTGTGGCTGAGTATTAGCATTGTAAATGGCATAGGCAGAGTTGCTTTCTAACTAAAGAAATACTGTCCCAACTGTCCCCCTGTCCCAATCGACCCCACTCTGTGTTGCATGTGTAAGTTCTTAGCTGCGGAATTAAAATCCACAAATTCAAGAAAACTGAGGACATGGCCTCAGTGTTCTCAGGGGTAGCTTATAGTTGAAAAAGTGCAGGTATTGTAAATAACAATAACAATGTCCCTGTTATATCAGACAAAAAATAAACAGTTATTATTCACCTACAAAGCTTTATTGTAATCCCCAGATGCATAGTATCCAGACAGAAACTCTGCTTACATAGCTATCATTTCATTTCTCTGTATGGGCGGGAAAATTGATACCGCAGAGATCGCTACTGTACAGACTGGCTCCTAATGACGTCACCGGAGTCTACGGTCCCACATGTAAACAAACCAGCTAAACAGGTTAGGTTTCCTTGAAGTGTTTGTATTAGGGCTGTCAAAATAACATGTTAATTTTGATTGATTAATCACATAAAGTGCCCTTTGACCCCGTGCATTATTGAAGGCCACAGTGGCTTTGTCATATGATGGAGGCAGACGAAGCGGCGCTGCTTGGCCTTGTGAATGGAACGTTTACCTTTAAAAAACACCCAGATAGAACTGTTGATAGGAGTACCGTTCTCTGCAATTTATGTAGTAAGGATTTTTCGAACCATCAGAGTACTTCAAGCCTCACGTCAGCACAAAGCATTTAGCAGCTAACCTGGAGGTCCGAGCTAGCACAGCCTCTGATGCTAGTGCCAGCAGCCAGCCTTATCAAACCACACTCAACCAGGCGTTGAGATGCAAACTGAGTAAGGGGCATACACACGCTTAGTCTTTAACCACATGGCGCTGGGTGCTACTTTTGTGCCTTTGCTGTGCCAGCTTTCAAGAGGGTGGCGGCAGGTTGCATCTGGGGTTGCTAAGCAACCTCAACAAGCACCATATCATAGCCTTTTTACCTGAATTCCTGAGTGCAGAGCTGATCTTCTACCAGGCTTATGTTTATCTGGATTTTTTTTTTTTTTTTTTTTTTTTTGACAGCAAGGTTTACTTTCTGAAATGAACACAGCTTTTTTTGATATTACCTGGGAAAAAATAGGATGCATCCCCTGGACATGTTAATAGTGAGTTTACTGTGTTCTTTTGGATTTCAGTGTATCAGGCACCTAGCAACACTAATGTGTATGTGGAGGTTTGCAGTTGTAACAGCTCAGTACTGTGTTGTATTTGCTTACCACGTCCACTGTTGGGCTCTTATAATGATTTACAACATTTGTTAACAAGGTGTGAAATATGTTTACCCAATGATGTGATAATTATAATAGGATGCTGTCTATTATTACTGTCTATCTGTATTCTGGGCCTGAGCAGAGTGATTAGTATGTCTGTCCATCCGTTCAACCCTCCTGTTCAAAGATTGAAAACTCAACAGCTACTAGACAGACTGTCATCGCGTTCCTGCTCCCCACAGGTAGAACCCTTTTGATTTCAAAGACCTTCATGACCTTTACTCTAAAACCACCTTGGAGACAAACGTCAGCAAAGGGTCAGGTTTCTGTTTGAAATTACATCAAAGACTTGCTTTTAAAAAAGGGAGAAAAAGATGATGAAATCTAACTTAAGAAAGGAAAGAAAAGAAAAGAAAGTGATATTGTGGTCCCTGTGCTGTAGCTGTAAGCTGTGATGGATTGTGGTTTTCATTGAGAAAGACGATCGAATGGAGAGAGAGGGAGAGAGGGAGAGAAGGTGAAAGAGGTAAAGAGCCTCTCTCACACGTATTTTTCTTCATCTGTCTTTCCTCCATCTCCTACCGCTTTCCTATCTTTCACCCACCTTTCTGCCCCTTTTCTTTCTCTTAATCCCTCCATCATCTTTCTGTTCTTCCACTCTCTCTTTCTCTCTGTAACACACTTTCCTCTGCGCTCCATCCAGACTTCATGCTCCTCCTGTGTTTCCTATTTTCGCTCTCTCTCTCTCTGCTCCAAGGTCGAGTTAATGAATGACAGAGCGTATCATCAATTCCCCTTTCTCCCTTTACACCTGTCACACACACACATACACACACGTGCACACACACACACACACACGGTGTATTGATTGGTACAGCAGCAGGAGCTTTGTGTTTTCAGTCCAATGAAACCACTTGGGGTTTAATTCTGCAGGCTTTTAATTTGTAGCTCTGTGTCTTTATTTTACAAGATTTTCAAATTTAAGACTTCAATAAGGTGGATTAACAGGCTCATGGAGATAACATATATTAATTAGCCTATATTTATGTTTCATCTACATTTTCTGTGCTGCTCCTCAATGCAACATTTCGAAATGCAAGTAGCAGTTAAAATGAATAGAAAATAATAAACATAATCTTGTGTCAAAATCTCATAGAAAGATCAGCTTTCAAAATACAGTGACTATTGTGTGAAGGAAAATATTTACCATGGATTACCAGAGCCATTCGGAAACATAGACAGTTATAAAGCAGCAGCCAGCCATGTAAGAGCCGTAAACAAGGACTAAATTACAGTGCACACGTTAAAGGAGCTGGTGGGATCACATTTCAGTGGGGTTGTACCTTGTATAATTCCATGTGACTAATAAAGGTTTAAATGATTGATTGATTTTTATAACATGTTTTAAAAAGTATTATTAAGTATCCTATACTTACATGCCCCCACTTCTCTTTTATGTGCATTTCAGAGTCTCCCATTGGTCAGATGCGTCCACCTCATGGCAGCGCCACGCCTCAAAAGAATAGTAACCTCCTGGTCATCATCGTGGTTTCGGTGGGAGCTGTCACCGTGGTCGTGGTCGTCATTGTGGCGCTTATTTGCACTCGGCGCTCCTCCGCCCAGCAGAGGAAGTAAGACGTTTTATTCATCTGTGTGATGTCAGTAAACGGCTGTCAGGGGAGCAAGGCAGATTGTTAATGATCTGTTCTGATTATTTTGTGTTGTGTGGTGAGTCTCTGAACATTGGTACCAAATTTAGAATGATCTGTGACTACCATGCCCAAACTTGCGAATGGGTTTCTAAGGCCTTTATCACACTAGATTCATTTTCCCTTTTAATAATTCAGGTCATCGGGTTCAGTCAGTGTTGTTTTGCAATCCACATCAGTTTTCAGTATAATTTTAAAACTGGTTTGTGAAGTTGTTTTTTTTTTATTTACTGTTCCAGTTCATAATGTTTTCATCATTGATATTTTTAAATTTGAAATTTAATTTATAATCTTTAAGATTTCAGTCCCAGTTGATTTTGCAATACCTGTGGTTACACAGTGGTAACAGCAGGGGCGGTTTACAACCAACACTCGCTGAGCAGCTCCTTTTTCAGAAATATGAAACTATCATTTACTAATGATAGAAAACTACTTTATAGACAGGTAATTACAGTGTAGATACATGTATTGGCAATTGCAGAAAAAAATGTTTGATTTCATGAAAATCTTAATGACTGTAATTTTCAGGTAGTTGTTTGTCAAGTTGTTTACTTCAAATTTCAAAATATATAATTTTATGTTCTGTTAATGACTTCTTAGATTATAGCATTTCATAATTGTAAAGTTTCAATTTTGTTTTATTTTAGATTTTTAAGTAAATTTTCCAATTAAGTGTTTAAGTCAAAATTATTTTATAATCCTGTCATGATGTTGCAGTTGTTCTTATTTGCCAACAAGTTCCACTGGTGTCAATTGATAGAACTCAATTTATTGTTATTTTGTAATCAAGATCAGTCAAAATTAATTTTAAAGGAACAGTGTGTAAGATTTAGGGGGATTTAGTGGCATCCAGAGGTGAGGATTACATATTGCAAGTGCCTGAAACTTCTCCCGATTAGAAATCCTTCAGTTTTTATTGTTCAGGAGGTTTTTAGATGGAGCCGAATAATCTGCAGAAATCTCTTCCTCTCCAAAACAAACTGACCTGATGATTAAAACTGGCAAAAAAAAAAAAAAAAAAGTATATTAACGTGTAAAGCAGTTTCACATTAGAAATAAGTCTTTTCTCCGCCGTGTTTAGCATGCCAGAAACTGGCGGCTAGCCGAGCACCAGCTAATGTGTGCTCACCTATTTTCTCTGATAACTTATGATTGAGACATTCAGGAGGTTTTTACTCGGAGCTGGATTATCCGCAGAGGTCTCTTTCTCTCGAAAACACGTATTGTCGCAGAGCAGCTACTAACTGCGGTGGCCAATGTGGAAACTAGGACTTACTCCCTATGTAGATATTAAGGTTGCAATGGTATGAGATTCCCATGGTATGATTACCGTCTCTGAAAATATTACGGTTTCACAATATCACAGTATTACACAAATTATATTATTATCAGTCAGAATGACCCTTGAGGGAATGAAAATGGAAGGGCTACTGTTGGTTGAACAAACGTTTTATTACTGTTATTGAAACTAGAAACCATTTTGTTAATGGAATCATGTGTTAAAGTCAGTGCTAAGTCTCCCCTTAGAAAATAACAAAAAAAAAAGGGCACATTCTCTGTCCAGTTGCCCTTTTTTTACTCAATATCATAGATAAACAAATGTACACGGTATGATAACAGTCAACTTTTACATCACAGTTTATCTTGAAACTGGTATATCGCTGCAGCCCTATGTAGATACAAACGTCTCGGTAAGGCAAACAGTGATTGTTATTTTCATTTCCAATTGTCCCCTTAAATCCTACACACTGGACCTTTAAAATCTGTCAGGTTTCAGTAAATGCAGTTTAGCAATATTTTATAATCCTGTTCATCTAGTCTAATACATTTTAATCACAGAGTAACAGATCAGCTGTACAATTTCTTGTCCTCCTCATTTCTCCCTCCACCATAAACTGTCCTTTTTTCATCAGATTTTTGTCTTCTTTTCTGTGTAAGTCGCAGCGTATGTGAGCAAGGCAAATGTTTTATGGTGAATGTACAGCACTGTTCTGGCACAGATGAACAGGTGTGTTCATTGTCTGCTGGGATTTGGAGGATTGCCTAGCGACATGATTCTAATAGCAGTCAAGCCCTGGTTCACTGTGTTGTCCACTTACATCAGTCCCTCAGTGTGTTCTTCTTCACATATTAACCTTCCATCCTGTCTGCCCGCTGGCTTGTTCACCTATCTCGTCCTCTGTGCAGGAAGAGAGCTAGCCACAGCGCCAGTAAGAGGAAGGGCAGCCAGAAGGATTTGCGACCTCCTGACCTTTGGATCCATCATGAGGAGATGGAGATGAAGAACATGGAGAAAGCTCCCAGCGTCGCTCCGTCTGGACGCGATTCGCCCATCCAGTCCTGCCAGGACCTTCCCCAGGTTGCACACAGCCAATCAGAGAGCCAGATGGGCAGCAAGAGCAGCCACTCAGGTACAGAATGGATACTTATTCATTCATTAATTTATCCACTTGGTTGTTATTTACATTACTGACTTTTTTATCTAAAAACTGTTTTATTTTATGCTATAAAGTGTATTTTGCTTTATTTATTACTTAAATTAGGTGCAGATTTCATGTTACGGTTCATTGGTATGTGGCCTGGCAACATCAAAATCTGCAACTCCAATGTGTTCAACACTTAAATTAGAAATTGAATTTATAATCTGCATGCTAAATATGTCTTCTTCATTTTTAAGGTGCAAACAGATTCATTTATATCTATTATGGGTCTTAATTACATTAGCTGTATAATGAAACCTAATTCATCATGAGCATATTAAGTAACAAAATATATAAATTATTTCTCTCATTGGAAAACAGTGAGCCGAGCTCATTTTAAATTCACTTTTTACAGCTTAAAGAAGGGAGGAAAAAAGTTTGAATCCCTGTTTTCATATTTGAATGATTTGATATTCCAGTGGCTGACGGTGACGAGGCGTCCAGCAGTATCTCTACTCTGGAACGTTCAATGGCTGCCAGGAGGGGGACACGAGGCAAAATGATGATTCCTATGGACTCACAGCCGAGCAACACACGTAAGTAAAACAACGCTGTGTGTGTTTGCATTTTCTGGCTTTCTGGCAGTTACAAAGAGTCTACAGCCATGCTTACTGCTTTGTGAGGGTCATTACAAGGTACTTGGTTGAATTGAGGTTGTGATGTCAGATGACCAAAATTCAATGTTAGTACCACATCTAATGCCAGACAGATGTTGATATTTAGGTGGTTTCAAGTTAGGTGGTTTCAGTGTCTTCCAAATGTCTTATGTCATCTTGACTTAGAATACCGGCATACATTTGATAATTTAGTTGTAAAGTCTGGAGAACAAAACCCAACATGTCATAATGTCCGCACAATGTGACACTGGAGCTGTTAGGCATTTAAAATATCATCAACCTGATTTTTTTTATATGAACTAAAATTTAAAGGAGCTATATGTAAGAAATCTAAAGCAAATAGTCGTAAAATCATCGTAATATGTCACAGAGACTAAGGAATAATGTTCATATAACATACTGATCTCACCAACAACAATAGTACAGCCAGGATATTCACATTTAAAAAACATTTTTACAGTCCGCAAATCATGTTTGTTTTGTTTTTTGTCATTTGTTTTTTTTGTGTTTTGGCCTGTTGCGCCACCCACCGCCGTCTACCAGTCACACAGTCAGTAGAGTCTCAGCATCAGTTACAGTTACGACTGAGCTACAGCAGCACAGCAGGTGACACGACTCGCGGCAGTATTTTGAGTGCAGTAACTGTTTTGGCCACATTCTTACATACAGCGCTTTTAACGCCTCTGTGACGTAAGAGTCCAATGTCTGCATGCAACATATTCTCATAGAATGGTTTGTATGATCTCCTATGAAAATGCATGCACAACAGTTTGTTTGATAGCCTACAAATGACGCTAGGTTCCTAAGGTACAGTCAGGTAATGAATGTAAAGTTATAGTGGTTAGGTTTCGGCAATAAAAGTTACTGTGGTTAACTTTAGGAAAAGAAACATGGTGAGGACGTACCTTAAAATGATTCAAAGTTCCCTCAAAGTTCACACGTATCCAAACGTGACTCCAGGGGAAAGTTCCAGGCGTCTTTTCTTTTTTTTATCTGCCTCCTCAGAACTGTGTGTTGTGACAGGTGTCATGTTTCCATGTTCACCATTATAGTTTAGTGTGTTGGCATGCTAATATTCGCTAATCAGCACTGAACAGAAGTACAGCTGAGGCTGATGGCCACATCATTGAATTTGCAGGTATTCAACCTGATCTCATGGAAATATGTGAAATGACCATGACTTCTTAACACCTCATTATGTGGTGGTGGCATGTAATGGTTTTTTTGTGTGGTTTTTTTTTTTTTTTAAGATATTTTGGGGGGGCATTTTTAGCATTTATTGTGATAGGACAGACAAGCGTGAAGGGGAGAGAGAGGGAGGGAGTGATATGCAGCAAAGGGCCACAGGCTAGAGTTGAACCCGGGCCGCTGCGGCAACAGCCTTGTACATGGGGCGCCTGCTCCACACATAATTTAACACATTTCTGGCCACCACCGCGTAATGCTTTGATAAGAGATCACAGTCATTTCAGGTATTTCTGTAAGACTTGGCAGAGGAAACCAAAGTTAATCATAATTAATTCAATAGTTACTTAGACACTCAGGTTAAAATGAGAAATATCAACCTCATGGTGGCTCTAAAGTGAAAGGACAGGGATCACCAAAGTCAAAATGTAGTCTGGACCAAAGTGACAGACTGACCCACCAACACTGCTGTCTCTGGAGCCATGCAGCCAGCATATAATGAAATATATCTTCCATAGTGATATATTTTAAGGTGGTGCTTAACACAAACCTGTTGCTCTTGTTTGGTTGGTCTCTTTTTAGGTAAGTTTTTTTTTTTTTTTTTTTATCAATTATTGATGGTTTCAAAGGTATTTATAAATTGATTCCTGTCTTGATAGGTTGTTGTAGCCAGTGTCTGTTATACAGGCATTGGGTGTTGTTTCATATTATGAGTGTGATGCCTGAAATTGAAATTGAATGAAAAAAAATCATGACAGAAGCAATGCACTTTAAACAAATTTAATGCAGACTGTGAGTGGTTACTTGAACATGTGAAAAAGCTGCACAGATTCCAGAATCCAGGACCAAACCCAACATCAACTGAATATATTATGTTAGGCTTTATATCATGGATCACGTTTCTTCCTGTTGGTGCATGGAAATCTCACATGACATATCTGTGGCAGTGGGGTGTCTTAGGGTCACGGAAGTTCAGGGAAGAAAGAACGCACACACTGAAAATTACACACTCACACACATTTTCCCACACAGATAATTAGCCTGTATGTTCCTTCAGGCCGACCCAGAGGACGGAGGGAAGAGAGGGAAGATCTGAGGGAGAGTGAATAAGGAGAGGAGGATAAGCAGAGGAAAGAAAGAGAGGGGGAGAGAGCAGAAGTTTTTCTCTGAACCCTTGTCAAGTGTCAATTTACTGTGTGTGAATGGGTTCGTAAATGTGTGTGGAAGTCCAGATAAATGAAAATGTGGAGCTTCTGTTCTCCAGCAGTGACTCTGATGATGTTCAGTCACATGTGAGGTTTTAAAGTGGAGATGAAACACTGAACAATATGACTGTGATTTGTTTGATTTTTACCTTGGGCAAGATATTCACCAGTAGGGAGCAGACATCTTCCAGCAAACTAGTTGGTGACATCACATGAATTTTTTGTGTCTTATTCCTTGCTTCTTCACCAGTAAGAGTTGTTGAGGTAGGCTTGGTATATTTGGTACTGTAAAACATCTTTGTCCTTTGATGATGACAAGCAGTGCATGGAACAAGGACGTAAAAAGAGAACTGGATACAGCCTTCCTATGAAAGCTGCTCAAGGAAGTTTGACTTCCAGGGTATAAAATTACCTAGATCTTTTGCAATGTGAGGACCAAAGACCAAGCACACTAAAGACTTTTGACAGCCAAGTGGCTAAATTCTGGTTTAGCCATCTGCTAACTTTATTTATTTATTTATTTATTTTTAAAGATTATTTTTGTGGGCTTTTTGCCTTTAATGAACAGGACAGAGTGAAATGGGGCGAGAGAGAGTGGGCGTTGACACGCAGGAAAAGGGTTGCAAGCCGGAGTCGAACCTGTGACCACTGCAGCGAGGCATCGCTTCTATACATGGGGCGCCGGCACTATCCAACACGCTACCGACGCCCCGAGCTGTCTGATAACTTGAATGGGGATAAAATAATATAATCATGCAGCTCTTCAAGACTTTCCAGATGTTATCAGATCATTACTGGATCAAATCCCAACAGCGAAACAAGTTATTTTGCAGGGGCGGTGAAGCCAAAAAAATGTAGCTGCAGATTTACTGTCAACTCCTTAATTTTAAGTCTATGAAAAAAAGCTTTTTGGACCCCATGGCATCACGTGATGGCCTGGAAGTTGTAATTTAACAATTTGGCCCTATGCAAAAATTGGCTTCAAAGCTGAGGGTTCTTCCTAGTGGCCTTACACAGAACTACTGGAAGTCACTTTTCGGCAGGGGGTCCACTTTTCAGCAGTAGAGCCCGACAGGTGGGGCAAATGTTGCACTGCCAGTGTCGGTCAACTTTACTTGCTGTTTGGATGAAGAATTGGAGTTTGAGATTACTTGTATGGATATATGATATCAGGAGGTGAGCCATTACATCGGTCTTGAGAAGTAAACAGTAAAACTTTTTGTTTATGATATAAGGAGTAGCTAACGTCATCAACCAACCAGGCATTATAAACAGATTCTGTTGCTAAGGAGAGGACTTATAGAAGAAGCAAGATCTTGGTGGTGCCTTAATGTCAAGGATAACAGTCTATTATGTACACTGAGAAGAGAATGGGCACAAGAACGCAAAACCGAACCAGCACCACTAGCTATCTAACCCAACACAGGAAAACAGGACAAATTTAAGTGGTGCACAACCCAAACTGTTCTTCTGAGTTCAGTGAGTCAGACCATTAACTGATGCTTTGTGATGCAGAAAATACATACATTTGATTCAGCTTCTGGATGGGAATGCTGTTGCTCATGAAATGAAGTGGCTTGTGAACGTGACTGCTGGGTTAGGCCAGCCATGTTTGCAGATACATAATAACAATGCAATGTTATAACCATCTCACATTTTTGATGTTGTCTGACAGCTTGATGGAGAGGGAGAGCATATATTTGGGATGGAGAAGGGTTTTCTGTGTTTTTTTTAGCTGCAGCAACCAGACATTAAATATAATGTCAGTCATGCACCATCCAATATACTGGATTTCAAATTCAGGCATCCTTTCACTTTAACCACTGTCGTCCAACTCCATGGGAACAGCCATTACATTTGGTACTGGTAAAAAAAGCATTAGCAGTTGGTTTTTGACATTGTCCCTGGTTATTTGCGTCTCACCAAAAGTCTCAAACTCCACTGTTTCATGTCTAAAGTACAGTGTTGTACTCAGCACAACCATTCCTGTAACGTCACCAACTGGCTTGTTGAAAGACGTCTTAGCACTACTTGCAAAAAAGGTGAAGTGAACATATTTCTGATTTTCTATTAAATGTAGATGAATATCAAGTTTGATTGCAGTGTCATATCCTGCCTATTGTAAAAATCTAACAAACCGCAATCACATTGATCAAAGTTTTATCTCCACTTTAATTCAGACAGAAGTTAAGACTTTATTATCTGTTTACCTCCAGCCAGCTGACTCTACTTTGTATTTTTACTTTGAGTACACAGTCACTGTTTCAAGTACTGATCCATCAAATTTAATGTTCTACAATCACCTAATAGGATGTGAAAAACACTTGGCTGCTGATCAATAGAATTTTAATTTTGAAGCCTTTCGGTTTTGTTCAGTTATGAAAGCTGGATTAAAATGTAGCTGCAGCTGTTGTCAGAGCAAACCTGCAAAAGTTAATTAACAGTTATTAACAGTTTGCTGGGTCATGGCCAACAGTTTTAAGGTGGAACCACTTTTCATGAACTAATTTTCAGACACAAATGACTCCT